GTGTTAAAGTGAAGAAGACTGTTGGAGGAAAGTGTGGGACTGTAACAAAGAAGTCATAAAGGGTAATTGCGCCATCTATTGGTAAAACATTAAAACTACCAGAAGTTGATGTTASATTAATTTTCCCAGAGTAATATCTGTCAGGCTTCCTGCAGCACAACAAACACTTGAATGGTCTACACACCACTTCCAAAACAAATAAAAATATGTGAAATATTTGAAAGGTGACATTATATATAAACCCATTTTAGAAATTAACACTGTAAGTCATAAATAMACAGTTAAAAACCCATGCACCTCAGAGAGTCAGTTGGACCTGACAGTCAATACTTAGGAAAAATTAACTCCGTTCGATTACACCCCAGAGTTACTAAGCAACGCTGAGAGAGTTGGTGCAAGATGGCGAACGATACGTCTACCACAATAATATCAGTTGTATTTTAAAGGGGAAAARCACTATAGACAAGGAAGACTTAACYTTTAAGACTTCTCCTGAATCGTCATTAACCTAAAGCGCTTTGGAGCCAAGATGGAGGATGAAGACACAACACTGGTGAGCGAGTTTAACCTTCAGAAACAAACGAGCAGTGGGACTGATTAGCACAAGCTTTACAAACCTTAACGACATGAAGGAACAAACCTAGTTTGTTATAATTAAGGGATGAGTTTAGCAGAAATAATATGAAGTGACTGTGGTGTGCCATTCCGTGGTTATAAGCTAACGCTTGTGCACTTCTTGTGTTTCCCCCCCAGGCTTTGATGAAGTACTATTGTTATGAAAAGTACTTTAACCATGTTGTAAAAACAGCCTCAGCGGCTCTAATGAAATACGGCAATGATCCCATCTTTATTTTTTTCCATGCGTATGGAAATCTTCTCCAAGGTTTGTCTGATTCAAGAATTGAGGGAAAATAGCAAAGAAATGCAACCAGACACAACAGGAACCAGTATTTTTTTTTATAACCAATCTTTGTGCTCTTTTTTATTTTAGATCAAATCAGGGAGGCCACTGAAGAACTGGCCAAAATAAGAGACAACAGAGAGCTCTCTTTATGTGCATTAATGGCCCTTGTGTATGCAGAAAAAAGAAAACCAAACCCAGGTAAACAAGCATGGTATTTACTCATTCTAGTCTCTTTCCCCCTCAACTTTTTTATGCATAGGATTTTTTTTTTCATTTACATCTTTCTGCATTCATAGATCGAGATGTCATCCAAGAACTTGACGCAAAGATTAAAGAGGATCGTAAAAATGCACCTCCCAAGAGTTTGTACCACGCTGGGACTTTTCTCTGGCTGTTAGGGCGAAACGATAAAGCGAGGGAGTACACAGAGAGGATGATCAAACTCTCCAGTGGTGCCAGAGAAGTGAGATTTATATTGATTTTACAAATTATCATGCATGTTTKAGAATGATTGGAAAGCCGGTCTGCACACGAACAATTAATCCCTTTATTTTGTATWCTGCTTTTGTTAAATCTGTGCTGATTTTTGTTGTTTAGGGCCTGATCCTRAAAGCTTGGATAGATGTTACTTCTGGGAAGGATGCTTATGCCAGAAAAGCTGGAAAGTACTTTGACGAGGGCCTGAAAGAGAGATCAGATGCTTTTGGTCTAATGGGAAAGGTGATTTGGGAAATATGCACCTCTCTTATAAACGTATCCATTTTTACCACTGCAAACATGATTATATTATTCTTTTTATTTTCCACTTAATTCATAGTAGCACTCATTCATATCTTTGAATTACTCGGTTCTTGATTTCACCTTGTATGCCATTAGTGTGATTGATGTTTCATTCATATATATAT